TCTGCCGTGCTGTCTTCGAGAGCCCCGATATTCTCCTGCTTGACGAGCCTACCAACCACTTGGACGTCAAGAACGTCGCATGGCTCGAGAACTACCTGAAGAGCTCCCCTTGCACTTCCATCATGGTGTCTCACGACTCCAAGTTCCTTGACAACGTGATCCAGCACGTCGTTCACTACGAGCGCTTCAAGCTCCGCCGTTACCGCGGTACCCTCTCCGAGTTCGTCAAGCAGCACCCCGCTGCTAAGTCCTACTACGAGCTCGGTGCCTCCGAGATGGAGTTCAAGTTCCCCGAGCCCGGTTTCCTTGAGGGTGTCAAGACCAAGTCCAAGGCCATTTGCCGTGTTAGCAACATGTCCTTCCAGTACCCCGGTACTCCCAAGCCCCAGATCCACGGAATTACATTCCAGGTCTCCCTTGGTTCCCGTATTGCCGTCATCGGTGCTAACGGTGCCGGCAAGTCTACTCTCGTTAACGTCCTGACTGGTGAACTTATCCCCACCTCCGGTGAGGTCTACCAGCACGAGAACATCCGTATTGCCTACATTAAGCAGCACGCTTTCGCCCACATTGATAACCACCTGAACTCCACTCCTTCCGAGTACATCCAGTGGCGTTTCCAGACCGGTGAGGACCGTGAGACTATGGACCGCGCCAACAAGATCGTCACCGAGGAGGACGAGAAGGCCATGGACAAGATCTACAAGGTTGAGGGCTCCCTCCGCCGTGTCATTGGCATCCACTCTCGTCGCAAGTTCAAGAACACCTACGAGTACGAGATCTCTTGGTCTCTGGGTGACAACGTCGGCATGAAGTCCGAGAAGTGGACTCCTCTCATGTCCGCTGACAACACCTGGTTGCCCCGTTCCGAGATTATCGTCTCTCACCCCAAGCAGGTCGCCGAGGTTGATCAGAAGGAGGCCCTCGCCTCCGGTCAGTTCCGTCCCCTTGTCCGCAAGGAGATCGAGCAGCACTGCGCCAACTTCGGTCTCGATGCCGAGCTTGTTTCTCACTCTCGCATGCGCGGTCTCTCCGGTGGCCAGCGTGTTAAGGTCGTTCTCGCCGCTTGTTCATGGCAGCGTCCCCACCTTATCGTCCTTGACGAGCCCACTAACTACCTCGACCGTGACTCCCTCGGTGCCCTCTCCAAGGCTATCAAGTCTTTCGAGGGTGGTGTTGTTATCATTACTCACTCCCGTGAGTTCACTGAGAACCTGACTGAGGAAGTCTGGGCCGTCAACGACGGTGTCATGACCCCCTCCGGACACAACTGGGTCCAGGGTCAGGGTTCTGGCCCCCGTCTCGACGCCAAGGGTGACGATGATGAGGACAAGTTCGATGCCATGGGTAACAAGATCGTTGTCCAGAAGAAGGTCAAGCTTTCTGGTAAGTCATGCAATTATTCCTCACTTATACATCACAATGTTCAATTGCTAACAGTTTTCTTACAGGCTCTGAACTCCGCAAGAAGAAGAAGGAGCGTGCTGCCCGCCGCAAGCGTGGTGAGGAGGTGTTCTCCGATGAAGATGACCTTTGAACGCCCAATTGGGGTGTTTACTGATACATATTATGATCGTTTGATGAATTTCATATGCTTTGCTAGGACAAAATACAATTCTCTGTTCAAACATTCATTACTGCCTTTTAACACTGCTGTAGATCTGTGACCGTCGTTCGGAGCAGTGCACAGCTATTTGCTCATATTTGTTCAAGTGACTGCGGAATGGGAGATCTTTCCCAAATAGTCATGTCAATGCTCAAAACCCCGTATCTCCAGCCAGATGGTACTGGCTTGCCCTCACCTACGTAGCTGACTTTGGTTATATGCGTTGCATGCCTGATGGTTCTCCTTGACTGGTCTGGCACCGTCCACTCCCATATTTATCTCAAAACTTTCTGTTAGAACTTCCATCTGTTGAAGGCTTAACCTGATGTTCTACTTACGTTTATTATACTTCCTGTTGATATGCTATATATAGGAGATTTCACACGACTGTTATATTATGCCTTTCATGCGAGCTATCTGTTCTGTTTCTGTTTCTGTTTTGCTTTTTTTTGTTTTTTAATGATGAAACAAGTGCCCGACTCCATCAAGACTCATCCCCAGAAGGCCATCAGAATCAGAATCATATCGGTGTGCGCCGGCTCCTCCATCCGTCTCGGCATGTCGTCCGTCCCTCTAGTCCTAAGCCGAGTACCTTGTGTGATCCCGAAGACAAGCCGAGATGTATCCCGAGTCAAATACAAATGTATAAGTGCCAGAGCCCCGTAGATATATTAGCACCAACTTGAATCACGGGTGGTTGGTTCCCGCTCCAGAGGCGGGAATGCCAGCTCTGTGTAAGACATTGATGGTAGATTTATACCTTGAAACATGACGGCCTCGTAATCTTGTCAAAAATTCTATCATTTCCTTTTCTGTTCCTAGGGAATATATATCACACACCAGCTATATCTCACTCCGTCTAGCCCCTGAGAGCCAAGGTTCCGAGCAAATGCGAGGGGGACATAGTCCACATCCCGGTCAATCCTGGCTAGAACTATAACATGTAAGAGCCTGCAGAAATCGTCTACAATTCCTATTGTTCCGGTATTGCTGGGAGCCTGAGGCCTGGCTCTCCCCTGTTTGTTTGGGTCTGCTTCCTACCGGAGATCTTTTGTAGGTAAATCTTGAGCTCTTTGGCATTAGAGACATGTAATCCCCAGGCATTGTGCGACTGCTTAGAACAGTTTCGCTTGTTAAACGTGTCTGTTTCTCCAATGGTCTTCAAGAAACCACATGTTGTTCCATCAAGCCTCCACTGGTCCAACCTTCACATCAACCCTTCTTTGCAGCTCAGCCATGTTATCCACTTGCCGTAGCTTTTTCCGCTTCTGAACCTCCAAGTCCTTGAAGCGCTTCTTGCCTCCATGCTTCAGCTTTGTAATCATATCAGCCGCCTGGCCGCGAGTCAAGTCCTCGGACTTCACATTGCCATCTCGAATGCGAGCTTTGTTCAGCATTCTGACCTGTCCAGGTGTGGCTTGGGCCCGTCGCCAAGGTTTCCAAGATGCGATGTAATGTTCATCAAACTTGGTACTAGCAAATGTATCCGCTGCCCGGACAATGCTCTCCAAATCGGAGCCAGTGGCAATCTTTCGAGGACGTGTGAATTGCGGTGCCTCCGTTGTTGGGTTTTCGAATTTCATGACATGATAAGCCATGAAGATATCGTCTGCTTTCTCAATCGTTATCCATCCAGATATATCGGTAAGCATATATCTGTCATCGCCGACTCGGACCCAGTTGTGCGGGCTGAACGACCTGATGTGTCGCTCGGACTGCATGTCTCCTAAGAGATCGTATACACTGTCATAAGTTGTAAACTGGAGTTTCAGGTCGTTGTCTGAGCCGTCGTATGGTTCAGCGGCCTCAGCAGTGGGTTCCGCTTGGCTGCCCTGATCATCATTCTTCTTCATATCTTCCACGCTGGTGTTGTCCAAAACCTCGTCTGGGTCCAAGCCGAACAACGTCGGTGTCGATAGGACTCCCGTTTCTAGGGAAGCTACCATATCAATAACATGACAGTCCTTTTTCCCGGGGAAGAGCCGAAGACCACGCCCGATCATTTGGATGAGCAGGTTTCGTGATCTGGTGGGTCGAGCTAGGAGCACGCAGTCGATATTTGGGATGTCCGTGCCTTCTGTAAAAAGACCACAGTTTAGCAACACTGGAAATTCTTGGTCCTTAAAAGCCCGTAGCTGTTCCGCGCGGACACCTTTAGCTGTGCTAGCTGTGATATACCGAGCATCGACGCCATGGTCGCGAAAAGTGGCGGTAAGCTGTCGCGCGTGCTGGATATCGACACAAAATACGAGAGTCGACTTTCGATTATCAGCACTCGCCATCCATGCACGAACTGTAATGTTGTTCGTAGATGTAGTATTAACCGCCTCTGAAAGCGAACCCAGGGCAAAGTCTCCGAAACTATCTTTCTTGACTTTGGACAAATTGGCCCCGGATTTGACAGTTGTAAAGACCGCGTTGGCCAACCAGTTTTCACCGATCATATCGACGTAGTCCTTGTGATAGACAATATGATCAATGGCAGCGCCCAGTTTGAGACCATCGAACCGTGAAAAGGTAGCTGAAACACCCACCAAGACCGGTCCATTCGCAGATGGCTCGTTCAACCCAAAGTGCCCCAGTGCTTCTCGGTATGATTTGGCAACAATATGGTGAGCCTCATCCACCAGCACGAGCTTGAATGCACTTGGATCGAACTTGTATATGCGTCCCCGCGCTAGTGTTTGAACTGACGCGATGATGATGTCTCCTGCTCCCGTCGCAACATTCTTGCCCATTTCTATTTCGACGGTCTTGTCTGGATAGGCCAGACTGCAGTGTTTCGCGGCTTGTTCGACGAGTTCGCGCCGATGGACGATGATCATGGTCTTGGTGGCTTTCGCATCGCGAGGAGGGATTCGGCTGATAAGCTGTGTGAATATGACCTACAAAGGTTAGTACGACGTTGGATAAAGAGTAGATTCACCCTTACTGTCTTGCCAGCTCCTGTTGCAAGTGAAATTCCTAGGCGTCGATGGCCTTCACGCAAATATTTCAGGACGGATTGAATGCTTTCTTCTTGGTAGTCGCGGAGCACAATGCTCGGAGGGACTGTGGACTCGGTTGACTTGAAGCGCACATGGCGGAAAGATCTCTGCGACAGAGGACTCTTCAACAAGTATCTCCTTGGGAGTCTCAATCGCGAGACACAGCGTATGAACTCCATGCAGATGCTGCAAATGGTCTCTGTCTCTCCGGCGAAGCTCAAAAGCAGGTGCAAACACTGCAAACATTCTTATCGATAACCTTGCATCTAGTGGATCCTCAGCCCAACTTTTTTTTGTTGTTCCTATAGCTCTTGATGAAATTGACGTGGAAGATTTCATTAAGGGCGCAGCTGTGATGTTTTGCTACCGGTCATCCCGTATGCGCTGCAGATTTGCGAGCTTGAACGATGAGCGACTCCGCCTCCGTATATGAGCCCGACGACGCCGAGTCTGATTCCGATTTCCAACAATCCGAGCCTGAGTCTGACTTCGAGCAACCCCGCTCGTCTATTGAGCGCTCTCCAACCCCAAACCAGAATGTAGACGAATATGATTACCATCGTGACCCGACGTTCAATGGGGTCGGACGCCAAGTCGGTGATGCGCTTATGGCACGTGTCCCGCAAATGCGTGGATCGCTCACATTTCTCCGAGCCTACTCCCACCTTATCGTCCAAAACGAGGAAATCATTGATTATGGCTCGCTGAGGGAAATTGAGAACACATACAAAGTCAGTCAACATGGCTCGATGGTCTGGACGCCCACGGAGAAGGAGGTGTTCTTCAATGGACTGGACCGGAAGGGCAAGGGCGGCATCAAAGAGCTTGCTGTTGCAATCGGTACTAAGTCGGAACCCGAGGTTATGGAATATATCCGACTCTTGCATAAGGCCTTGGAGGCCCAGTATTCTTCCGACGTGCACCTAGAGCACATGCCTGTCTTGAGTGATGTCTCAGCGGCCACAGAGTTCAGCCAGGAATGCTGTGGACTACTCGAGGAATATGCGGATGTTCTATCATTGAAAGAATCCCTCATTGAAGCTCAAGCCGGAACAAAGCAGCACGGCGATCACTGGATTATTACTAGGGCTCATGCATATGATCTGGAAAATGAGGAGGACAGCAGCGTCCGAGGTGATCTCCGCCTCGCAGCTGATTTGCTGAACCTTCCATATTGGGTTCGACTTTCTTATTGTTTGTTCATGAACTTCGGTGGCAAACAAGCGGAGAACAACTGGTGGAACCTCGCCAAGAGACAAGACTTGATCACAGCGTATGGACATACTCCGTCTATGACTGCAGATACTGCTGTGGACTTCTACTCTCTCGCTGTTAGTGTCACACGCCGCTTAGTTCAATCATCCCTCTTTTTCGCAATGTCAAGATTGCGCAGCTCGAATCGCAGTGGAAGTGATAGAAAAGGATATGTTCGGACTCGAGATGTGCGGGCCGCCATTGAAGTGCTCAATATGAGGCACTGCAGGCCCAACTTGGTGGACATCGCTCGTCGCAATGAAACAGTCCTAGAAGACATTAACAACCGGAAAGGCTGGGTGCCTACAGTATTCACCTACGAAGAAGCCGAGGAGATCATCGACAAACACGAATGGACCCGGTACCGTAAGGATGGAACCATGTACAATGATGAAAATGAAGAAGAGAACGGTGAAGACGACGACATCACTGACGATGACATCGAAATGGACGATGATATCGGACCGGATGATGATATCGAAATGGAAGTCAACAAGCAAGAGGCAGAGCCTGAGCCCACGCCCGAACCGGAACAAGAACAGGAATCAGAGCCCGAATATGAAGATTCAGAACCAGAGGATATTGATCACAATCTTTTGGCCACGCGAGAGTCCGCCGAAACGTCAGCGCCAGTTGCACCGACAGACGAACTGGAAATAGACCCAGAAGAAGAGCAAGCAGACATAGTAGACACCAACGCCAGCCATCGCGAAGAGGCCAACTTTCTGAAGTTGATGGAACAACCCGTGCCGTCCGCCCTTGATGAACGTATGAAGGCAGAAGAAGTCGAGGACGAGACCAAGCTACTGCCGGAGCGCAGAATGAGAGAAGATGTCTCTAATTGGCGGGATCGGACCGTCTTCCGCAGCGAGTGGGAGGAGTATGGGTACGATTTCACCGATCTGAACGAAGACCTGGAAATGCCTCCGCTGAAAAGGCCCAGGTACAACGAATCAGCAGTTGCTCTCTCCGCTCCGGTCGTTTCGGGCGAGGACGAGGATGCAATAGATGAGAACGAGGACGAATAGATGGGAACGAGGGCGATGAGGACGGATCTCAGCAAGGAGAACTTCAACAAACCACTGGAGAGTCCTGGGTGAAATACTACATGACGACGTTTGGTCAACCGGGCAACCCAAATGGGCCTGGATGAGAGGCACTGCAACTACTTTGAGCAAGAATACAAGATTCCCACCAAGGACATATGATTAAAGAGTAAACACATTGATGAAAAAAGATCCCCAACCCCCTAGTTCAACCCCCTAACAACAGTCCACTTTCTGGAGAGAGGGTGAATCAACAGAAAAGAACTCCAGCAGATAACAGAAAACAAAAAGTGCGCCTTTTCCAAGCCAGAAAGTTCAGAATATTCATAACTCAGCGAGACGAAAAGCAGTCCCTTTGGGTTCCTTTCTCAGAAGATCCATGGGGGATTATCGTACATGTATTGAGGAAGCCTACAGGTCAAGGGTTTTGTAGTCGACACCAGCTTGAGCGCTCAGGGGCTGGGTTCCCGCCCGCATATCTCCGCCAACAGGCTGGAAGCTGTAGTGGTTTCCAATGCCGGTAGTAGCAGCATCAGCCAGCATCTGGTTCGTGTGCTCGTTGGGGCCCTGCAGGCTGACAGTCTGGAGCGCATCCTGGGCCTCCTTGACACGCTTCTTGAACGTCATCCGGTCCAGGAAGAGTTGCTGGCGCGCCTGCTCCAACTCCCGACGCTCAGCCTCGATAATCTCTTCCATCTCGTTGAATTGCTGCAGCTTGATCTCGAACTTTTGTAGGGTGACATTGACTGCAGCAGAGACCAGGCGGGTCATTTCGCGCTCCTCGTGCGAGGCAAGAGCTCCGGCACGTGCGGCAGATGCGGCCAGAGCGATGGTGCCAAGGGTCTCCTTAGGCTTGGCGGAAACCTGCTGCTCGGCCTCATGTGTGGGGTCCACGTCCATGGAATCTTCTGCCTTAACCGCATCTTTGCCTTTGCCTTGTCCCTTCTCCAACTGGCTCCGGAGCTCCTTGCGGATCTCGTCGACAGATCGACCGGCGGCGGCGGCGGCCACTGCAGGCTCCGCCATCTGGGCCAGGAATGCCACAACAGAAAGAACGGGGTTTTCGGACTGGCTGATGGGGTCACGTCCGCTGCCAGACGTAGGCTCAGGGACATCCTCAACGTATTTATCCTCGATCTCCAGCTGTAAGAACTTCATGACACACTCTTCCCGAGATCGTGTACCGACGTGGCTCGCAATTTGTTCCCAGTTCTCATCAAAGTTCTCCAAGCCTTCCAGCAACAAAATCACTTCCGAGTCCGACCACGCAGTGCCTTTGTCAGTCACGTGAGAGTAACCCTTGTCCTCGAGCTTAACAAAGTCTGAGGCATTGTGGCTAGAAGGCATTCGCCCTTGCAGGAAGCAATTGGGGCACAGATCATACTTGGTATCTGGCGTAGCGGCGTTGGCTGACGTCGAGGCCGATTTGGCGTAGTGGAATCGAAGTTTGGTGCAATCAATGCCGCAAGAGAAGCAGTGTGCCTTCTTCTTGGATTCTTGAGCAATGTCCAAGCCGTTCGTTCCATCGCCGTTGGTCTGTTTCTCTTTATCCTCGGCCGTGATATCCTTGCCTTTTTCGTCGTAAATGGTGCGGCGGAGTTCGAGGTTGAGGTCGTCTTTAGATGTAGGGATGGAAGAGGCGGCACGCTGCGTGGCTGGATGAACCTTGCCGGATGTGACGCCGTGATTTGGTCCAGGCTGGAATGGCTGCAGACCCCGTGGAGTGTCTGCGATAACTCGGAAGTGACCGGTGAATGGCGGTCCAATATTGGAAGGCCGTGTCTGAGGGTCAACCTGCAGAGATGTTAGCTAACATGCCTGAATGGGAAAAAAAACAAAGCCACTCGCCTGATAGTTGATCAAGCCCCACTGCTCAAGGAATGAGTGAACACGCATAATAGCACAGACGTCACCCGCAAGGTTGCGACGACAAGCAGTAACGGTCAAATACTCGATGGGGTTCAATCGATAGGTATTGATCATGAAGTCTCGGTAATCTTTGTATGTGGCAGGTGTCTTGCTGCGGTTACGGCCGTTGAAGAACTCGGCAAGAGCTTTCTTCTCGATTGGGTTAATGGTGTTCATATCAAACCATGTCGCATAGCTGGGGAGGATGATGGCGTGTGTCTGGGTGACGAGTTGTTCGCGCGCGGCGGCTTCCAGAGATGACTTGGATGGTGCGGGTTGTTCTTCCCCCACAGCGTCCTCAAGCCCATCCGCTCCCTCCACTTGCGGATGCGACTCGCCCACTGCATCCTCCAAGCCCTCGGTGTCGGGCTTGGCGTCGGTCTCAGTACCACCCATCTCTTCGTCTTCCTGTTCAACTCCGCCATTCCGAGGTTTAGGAGATGCGGGGGCGTCCATCGGGTTGTCAGATCCAGGTGTGTTCTCAATCTTCTTCACTGGCGAATCCTGGCGCGATTGCGCTCCTATCCATGAATTTAGCATTCGGTGCAACATCAAAGCCATTAAAGAGTTGGCATACCTGAGCCTTCGCGAGTTGCATCAGCTGCGCCATCTAGGCCAGTCACAGACTGGACATTCTCATGGGCCGCAGCTGGGTTGATGGGAGTGTCATCCATGATGGATCAAAGCAAGCAGCTGTCGCGGTCGGCAGAATGTCAACTGCTGTCCCGTGTATGAGTCTGTCTGCTGTGTAAAGCGCAATAGTGGTTTAGGATGGAACAAGGAAAAGCCAGCAATGGCATAAATCAAGGCCGCGGAAGATGGAAGAGGAGGTCTAAAGTGATGATTGGACGGGTTGGGGGAGGTTGGTCGCGACACGCAAAACTCACGGGTGAATGCCAAGAACCAAATCGCCACTAGCCTCTTTGGGACTAGGTCCCTTCCCCGTGGTCAGGTGATTGAATCTACATTATAAATGAGAACTATATCAACCTCAGAAGGATCTGTTTCAATACGTATTTCAATATTCCGTTGTTGCTTTTACTGTTAGTAATTGTGGTTTTGTCAGTATAGTCCTACGAGGTGGGCTATGTCATAGTGCATGTTAGATTGCTAAAAGATATTCGAGAAAATGAGAAGCTGGGGAAACTATGGGAATCTTAGCTGCTTTATATGTGATATATAGGGAGCTATTAACGATGGATAGGAGAGATTTTACGACACTAAGCAGACTTTAATCCTACAACAAAACGAAGCAAATATCTTTCCTTGTTCCTGGTCAACCCCCATGCATGCATCAAGACAATGGTAGCCTGAGCCTCCCACAGTATACCCTTGGCTAGAGCCTGGTACTTAGACTAATTTCAAGCGATTCAAGTTTCTCGAGCTGATGCAAGTCAAGCTAAGCTCCTTAGGTACTCAAACATACTGTCATAGTTAGTAAAAAGAAACTTAACGTTGGAATCTCTATAACATGCTCGAAGTGGGGTACACAAAGAAATCTCGAATTTCGACCTTGATCACTTTAATAAGGGAAATATTTAATGTCGATGCTGATGAAAGATTTATGTAAATTCAATCTGCTTATGTCATCTAGCAAAAAAGATGTATATAGATACCAATGACAATGATAATATAGAGTGGTTTACTTCGCTTGCCTCTTCTTAGAAGGGAGTTCAGACTCATCCTGTGACTCATCGTCTCTGCCTCGCTTGGTTCCAGGAGCAGGAGATTTAATCGGGCCGGAGGCAGTAGCAGGAGCGGGCAGAGGAGTATATGGCATTGTGCTTGCAACTTCTGCAAGTATTTCTAAGGGGGTAGCAGGATTAGCAGTAGCAGTAGGCGCAAGTACTTCATTTGCCGCAGCTGCAAGCACTTCTATGTTAGCACCAGCAGTAACCACTCCTATGGCAACAGCACCAGAAACCACATCCTCAGGAAACTCAGAAGCAGGTGCAGCGGCAGGAGCAGGAGGACGTGGAGGGGCAGCAGATCCAGGGGGTAGGTACCCTCCAGGAAGCATCCGTTAATAGGTAAAGCCTAAGAATATCGTATAGAATTCCACCCAGAACTGTCTCAGACTCCATCGATTGAACGCCTGACAGTAGCTCTCCCATCCTCGCTATGATCTGTTCTCGAAACTGGCTACTGGAAGGTCTTGTCGAAAACTGGTTTTCTCAGGTATGACCGGACTCAGCAAGCCAAGCAATCAGCAAAGGATCGTAGACACTTCGGATAACGTCGAGGACTGACAATCAAGCGCATTCTGTGGATAGTCAAGGTTGTCAAGATGAAGCGGCATCCAGATTCTCCTAACATCCACTGCAGACGCCTTCGTACTAGCTTGCACTCTCAAGTTGGTTCGAGGCATGTTGAAAAATGTTATCTACAAATGATGTGTGTTGAGCAAGGTGCTCAAATTGGAGAATTATTGGGTTGTTTGAGTCTTGATGTTGATTGTTTGAATGATTGTCGAATGAATATCGAGTGTTGGGATGGGCTTCGTCGACAGTTAAATACTTAAAGGCCCCTTTAGAAACTCGAATCAATGTCAATGTTTATCCGTACTGCGCTTTATCTCGTTTTAGAATAAATAAATGCACCGAAAATACAATACTTGACAAGCTCTTCACCACCGAAAAATAATATAGATCTTTTGTTCTTTCAGGGCGGACACAGCAGCATTGTTGTCTCAGAAGTCAAAATGAAGGATAAAGAAGAGGGCTATTGGACTCCTAACAACCCTATTTTGGACCGACTTAATAATATTACAAATGAATGAATGAACACAGCTTAGACTAATCACAAGACGCAAACATAATGTCAACCGCAAATGAAGATATCTTTCTTTAAGAAAAGCCTCCAGCTAGTGTCAAACGGGCAAATTCTTATCACTTCTTTGTTGACATGACTTCGAACTCCATTGTATATCCAGGTCAAATTCTCGTGTGCGATGTACCAGAGATAATTTCTGTCCTCTCTGCGTCGCATTGGCTGAGATATTGACTTGTTTGTTTCTCTCTTTTAGTACCTCGGAGAAGAATGCCCGTTGGAATCACCCACTCCGACCCTTCGACAAATGAGATGTCACCGATTGGCACCCGTTGCGGGACCGAGCCGGCTTGTTATCCGCCCGACTTCCAAGCCCTAAGTGTCCGAGGGAATTCGCCCAATCCGAAATATTCCCGGTCGCGCTGACCAACTGTCGAGGTGATAAATCTAACGAAACTATACATTGATTCTTGTTATGGATTAGGAAATACAATGTTGGAATGGGGGATATCGGCTATAAATTTTCCTCGCTCCCTCGTGGACTGAGTCCTTGTTTTCTCCAAGCATCTGCCTTTCTCCCCGCCTGTGTTAGTACTTGAGTCAATTCCAGCGAAGTTCATCAAGCGAAATTCAATATGCAGTCAATTTTGCAGTATCGTCGTCTCCGCCGACAGGTGGAAGAGGACTTAGAACGCGCCCGAGCCAAAACTTTCAGCTTGCGTTCTAACATCTCGCCAGCCTTGCTCGAGGCAAATGCGGATGGTTATATGCGTCCGAAAGCAGAAGGGGGAAAAGAGCCAGTTCTGTCAACTGATATGCTTCTTGTACCTGGTGTCACAGTTTCACAACCGAATGGAGCCAACGGTGACATTGTCTTGGTGGTCGGCTGGAGAGACAACGATCCGAGCAACCCCCTCAATTGGTCACTTCTGAAGAAATGGATGGCCATGTTCATGTGCGCTCTCATCGCCATTGCAATGACCGTTCCATCATCCGTCGAGGGTGCGACACAAGATGCCTTTGACGCCCGCTTTGGTGTGAACAGTATGGCTGGATCAATGACGACCGGTATGTTGATTGGTCTCTTTCTTTTTTCGTCTACAATTTTTCCTTACTCTGCTTTGGCTGCTATGTACTTACTGATGCTGAATGAGCACAGGTATCTTCCTTATCGGTATTGGTGTGGGCTCGCTATTCTCTGGTCCTTTCTCCGAGACTTTCGGCCGTAACATCGTCTATTTCGTTACTTTGGTCCTTGTGATTCTGTTCACATTGGGCAAGGCGCTGGCGCCAAACTATGGTGCTGCCCTCGCGTTCCGCTTCATTTGCGCTCTGTTTGCAGCTGCGCCTATGACGGTCGCAGGTGGAACTGTTGGTGACATTTGGCAACCTTTACAGATCCCCTTCGGCTTGCCTATGCTCACTATGGCCGCTTATATGGGTCCCATCTTAGGTCCTGTAATTGGGGCCTACACGCCAAAGATTGGGTTCTTTTGGGCCGACTGGATCTCTATAATCATCGCTGGTGTTGTATTGATAGTTGTGGTCATCGGCCAGCCGGAGACGTTCAGCCCTATCCTACTCGAATGGCGTGCGAAGCACCTGCGCGATCTAACGGGTGACGACCGCTACCGCGCTGAACATGCTTCTGCTTTGACTAGCTCGTTTAGCAATCGGCTGCTGACCAATGTGTACCGACCTTTCGTCATGATCTGGACTGAACCCCTTATCCTGATTTTCAGCTTTTATCTTGTCTTGCTATACTTTGTGCTCTTCACCTTCCTCAACGGTTATCCCTTTATATTTGCTGACGTGTACGGGATTTCCACGAGCTTGACTTTTATCATCTTTGCTGCTATGGTTCCCGGCGTGCTCGTCGCTCTGTGTTTGGTTCCTTTGCTTTATAGCCTTACAAAGAAGGCTGCCAGGAAGGCTGATGCTAATGGGAAAGCGCTACAGCCAGAGGTGTCTCTTTGGTGGGCTATGGCGGGAGCTTCCGTCCTAATGCCTATCTCACTCTTCTGGATGGCTTGGACCTGCTACGTAAGTGCATGCGTTACCTTGCTCTCCCTACATCTGCTAATACCGTTTTATTTTCTAGTCCTCTATCAGTATCTGGTCGCCCATCGTGGCCTCCGGTATCTTCGGCTACTCTCTTGTCTGCATCTTTACTACAACCTATATGTACACCATCTTTGTGTACTTGAAGTTTGCAGCCTCAGCTCTAGGATTTATGACCTTTTCGCGGTACGTCGTCTCCGGCGCTCTGAGCCCGGCATCCGTTAAGATGTATGAGAACATCGGCCCCCACTGGTCGCTGACCATTGTCGGCATCGTCGGAACTATCATGGCACCCGTACCTTTTGTGCTGTATAAGTATGGCCACAAGGTCCGTGCGATGAGCAAGAATGTCCAGAACAAGGTTTAATCGGCCCACACCAACTACGTGAATTGCACAGACATAGGGCTTGTTCTCTTCTTCTGGCGGTATTCCTTTGCAAATAGCGTGTACATTTTGTCAAATAGTCAAGCTGTGTCATGGTGCCTTCCATTAACTCAGTGAATATACGACGTATCTATCAATGTTAATTTTATAAGACATTCTCTCAGTGGCCGCGTGACACTCACATGATAAGGCACTGACCTAGATCACAGTCAATCAAGCACTCCATAGCAATAAAGCGGTAAAGTACTTGATTTTTCAAAACGGATTTTCAATTTATGACCCTAGGTGCTAGTTCTATGTAGTGTTCCCAGTTATCTCCCTTCTCCTCCTCATTCTTCTCGCTTGCGTCCGCTTTTCCAGATAGATCTACGGACTAAGTCTTTCCCTCATCTATTGATTTGATCCTAGTTATCGAAATTCTACAGATTTCGGCTACCCCGCCATGTCTCACGGCCGAAGGAAGGCCTACCAGTAAGCGGGAAGTTACACTTAACTACAACTATTCTTAGAACAATCTCATACCATCTAGTCCCTGCAGATCAGTCCTTAGGCGGCGTTTTACAACTATAATTGCAATAAAGAAGGCATGAAGTCGCTGCCTAGTTTGTATCTTGGGAAAATTCTCCAGTCTAAGTCGAGTAACCATTGTTTGAATATATAACCTGACCATTGACAAGAGACCAGGCACTCGTAGTGGGTACGAAGCAAAACGTGGGTTCGTCTCAGCTTGACACAAACCAGGACCCTCGGCCCCCCTCCTAAAAAATTCCTAAAGAGGGAAATAGTGGATACAAGTAGTGATCTGTACATTGCATACATCACGGAAGTTCACAGATCTATGGCCAACATTGTCCCATTGCTTCTAACCCATCTTCATCGCTAAATTTAAACGTAGAATAAAGAAGTCGACCGGAACACTTAAGACATTAAAACCATCACGTGGAATCGATTAACGGCGCCTCGGGAAGGCAACACGATGGGGGTCGGGATGATCCGAAGGTAACACGATGGGGTCGCTTATATCCGATGTCGACAAAATCAATGGGGCGGAATTTTCTATGGCTGCCATGAGAATTATATCACTAGCCGTTACGTAAATATTGTGATAATTGTAGTCAGAGCAACTTCCTAAATAGATCTTAGAGGGTTACATCAAAGAATTGCCAATATATGATTGGCTGTTCTATGAAAGCTTGCCTGCCGCCTCTGATATTGGGCATTTTGCTGTACAGATGTATTGACCTTATTACATGGATTGTCGAGTCATGTATGCGGATCACCACGCAGATTGCTAATCGGTGAGAGTATATGTATTTAATTCTAGTGGACTGCTTGGCCGGTTTAGGTTAAAATAGCGCGTGGGAACGCACAGGGTCTATCTACAAGGACAGGCTCCACCTTATATCCAAACACAGATGTTTCACCGTGATCACCGGTATTATGCTTTTCTTATATGGATACATAACTAAGAAATATGGGTTCTAAGGTTGTTTCTTTCACACGTCTTCTATAGGCGGAGAGATATTTGAAAATTTCAATGAGGAACTTCTACAATACCGCGGAAAACTTGGCAAGGCGTGCAGGTCGGTGTATTCAGTAATTCCATTTGCCGGAGACTGTTGTCATAGGCGATTTAGCAGCCGCGAGAAGCTGTTTTCTTCCTGGATGGTGGGCCGTACACTAGTATGTCTTGCACTTGCAGTCCCGTGGTATCTTGTGAAAGCACTATAGAGTACTATACATTTGTGAGGAAGAGGCAAAGGGAGAAAAAGCATCGACGCGGCTGAGGCGTATGGTAATGGAAGAAAAAAAAGCTATCTAAAAACCCAGACCCTACATAAACAGGCGGAGACGAGGCGGAGTCTCAGGCCGTCAATAGGTGATTATCGATAATCTGTGTCTCTTTACGGAGTACTTTCCTTTAAATGGGAGATGTGCAGACTTAATATTGGTAGATATTCTGTCTTAGTAGCCTGCTAATCGAACGTATAGGCAATTCATGCTTCGCTGATGATATTAAAGTCAACAGAGGCAGATTTAATCGACCATTGTGCCTTTTGAGTAAGTCCCCACACGAGTGGTCGTATCACGAGCACGGTCTGGAGGAGCTGGAGATTTGGAGAATTACTTTGCTAGCTAGGATTAGGTAGGCAACAATATTCGACTCACATGGACTTCTAATATACTATTATAACCCTGTCGATCGCGGAAACACGGAGCGGGACTGTCTCATTTGGTATGCTATGGGTATACGACTTGTGTTCTGGTATTATACCGCCTGCTTGCATGATAGCAAGAGGTGCAGTTAGATATCTAAGCAGATTTCCTGAACAAATGGTTGTCACAATGAAACTATATGAAGTGCATAGGATATTGTTCCAAGTGTCGTCAGAAGGGCCGTTATACAGGGACACTCTAGTGACTCTGCTAGACCATTTGAGAGCAGATATTAGGACATACCGCGTGTACAGTATCGTTTCGTAAATCTAACCACACACTCCTTATTCTTTGCGGACCAAATGCTATTACTCCACTTACAAACGAGTAGCCTCTTACCAGACCCTACACTTTGCTCATTCCGAACCTGCCCTTTCGCTTCATTGACGGGTTCTTCCTGCTTCATGGGTTTGGCACTGGAATCCTAACGTCTCATATCAGTCAGCAAGCTATAATGATCATTATATGGGGGAAACGGCGGACAAGGTTCATCGCTGTCGGAATTCTGTCCCTCGTTCTCATCGTCGGCATTCACCTGCTCGATTTCGCAAACCCCTTTTCCAATCCTGACGACCTGTCCGCTTCAATGGATGTAATCAGTGCTTGCGCTACCTCTGACTTCGAACACCCCAACGACTCTAATTCTGTTGCCGTCCCACAAATCCCTAACGTTGTTCATCAAATATGGAAAACAAACGACCTCCGAACCTACTCCACACAAATGACCGCGTCGCACGACCAGTGGAAGCAAGCTCTCGATCCCCTAAACTATACAATCAAGCTCTGGACAGACGACGACATCCTCCAACTCATCAATGGAAGTTACCCTTGGCTTTCATCGACGTATGAGGGCTACCCCCAAAACATACAACGTGCCGACATCGCCAGGCTGCTTGTCGTCCACGCAGAGGGAGGGATCTACGCAGACCTCGACGTCTACCCAACCTCGGCCACTCAAATACAATGCCTGCAAAGTCTCAACCTAGAGGCTATATTCGCCCCAGTGTCGGGTACCCTCGGGCTGAGCAACCATTTCTTCATGGCCGAGCGCGGATCTCCATTCCTCCAGTGGGCGCTATACGAGGGCAAGCGCCGCGGCGGTGCGACGTCTCGATTCATCCCTCTACCGTATCTGCGAGTCTTTTGGTCCACAGGGCCTACGATGGTGACGGCAGCATTTCGAAAGTATGCATGGCTATACGGTACCCTTCAGCACAACCTGGGCTTGTTAGATGATGGATATTCAACAGCGGTGATACAGCACAAGGCAGGCAGGTCGTGGCATGGATCGGACGGGCAGGCTTTTAATTATATAGCGGACCATGTGAGGATGGATAGCGTGGTAGTGATCGTTGCTTTCTTTTCTATTATATTGGGAGTCGCCTATGTTGTGAGAAGACGTTACTTTTGAATTACAACTTTGGAATTTCTCACGTACTTGGACATATCCCATTACTGACAGTGGAAGACCCATATTAGGAATTTAGTGAATCTGCGTCTGATTTCTAGGCAAGGGTGCACAGGGGAGATCGAGGATTCGCTAGTGGTCACCTACTGAACTACTCTAGGGATCGCTAAATAATGGATATCGGTATGGAGAAACAGTTTGTATTAATTCATTTGTCATGCGATAGACTTAAGGGAGGGAAAAAAGAGAGAAGAAGAAGAAGAAGAAGAAGGAGAGAGAGGAACTATCTGCCTATGTACAGCATCTGTCTCGTGAGGAACTAAGATGCTTGAAGGGTCTTGCCGTTGTTCAAAGATACTGGCGAATGTAACTGTATTATAGTCGGAGTACAGTGACTGTTCATAAGTCTTAACAACACCTATAGCCCCACCTATATACCGCCTTCCTATATAATATACACCGCCATCCAGTACGCGCTCAATTATATCTAGATCACCTAAAGCACCTCTCTGAGATGATGCCGCACCGGGTGGAAGCTATTATTGAGAGCCAGGGTGGTATACACCATACTCTAGATTTCATAGTATTAATTCATGGAGGTTTTATACCGGCAGAAAATTACATAATCAAGGAGGTGTGGGGCTAGTGTTGTTAAGACTTATGAACAGTCACTGTATTCCGACGGTGGGGTAGGATTTGGGGTAAGGGATCTGCTATTTCTGTGAAATAATACATTGTGATGAATACTACCGATGGACAGTATCAAGGCGAGTTCGAACTCCTATACATAGCCTCGCCACGTGTTGTGAAGTGTGGTGTGGAGGCTGCTGGGGGATAATACAGATCGCCTCAAGATACGAGGGCCAAGGACTAGGGCTTTCCTATTCTGTGAGTGCACAATGCATATCAGTTTCTGATCTGCAAGGCAGCTTGGGCCATGGCAGCAGACCACTAGCTTATTAGTGCATAGCCGCAGTCATCTATCCTTTCATTGCCCTAGCATAGCCGCAGTCATCTATCCTTTCATTGCCCTATATCACATCCAGAAGGATTCCAACAGGCCAACCAATGTACAGGGTGCTTCCAAGGCAGAAATTGTCTTAGCACGGACTAACTACCAAGCCCGTATTCGTTTATTCAGAGTTCTCCCACGAAAATGTGGGCTTGGCAGAAGGTTGAACTGGTGTGCCCAGCAAACTGATCGCCTTTGTCGCCGGGCCCCAACAGGCTCAGCCGCTGCCAACCGCTGCTAGAAGACATCCTCATAGACTGGGCGACGCGGTTCGTTGGAATTCCTAAAAGCTCCACACATAGAAGATTCCAATAGCCGTCTTACCGCCCCCATACCTTTTTCAGGTATGGGTCTGTCCCACTAAACAGAAATTTCTCACAAAACAGAAGATTTTTATTTTTACATCACCTTCCTACCCATTTTTATACCACAATACGATGCCTAAAAAAACCTAAAATTCAGAAGATGAAATTTAAAAGGCCGTCAAAGCCTACCATAAAAGAAAAAAAACCCAAAATTCGCCCCATTAGCACGAGAATTCTCGGTTTCGTACTCGACATTGTACGCCCGCATTTACGGTCGCAAAACTCATTCCGACCGTACCGATCTTACCAAAACGCTCAGTGCAATTCAAGAAAAGGCACTTATTAGCTGGATTAAATTGCTAGATAGTAGTTTAATTCAACCTACCCCTAAGGAGATTGAGAGCTCTGTAAACTGGCTTTTATAACAGGCTGGTGCTAGCTAGACCTTGACATTTCCCATGGTGGGACTAGACCCCCCGTGGGAGTCCCATGGGAAATATGGGAATTCCCATGGGACTACAAACAATGCAAACAGGGAGAAACTCGTGACTTGCATAATTGTACGGCTTTATGCTGGTTT